AGTGGGGAAAACAAAAACAAAAACAAAAAACCAAAAAAACAGCAGTGGAGGAATAGCTTGGGCAATGCCAGTCTCGGGAAGGAACTGTGTGGCAGAGGGACGCTTATTTATTTATTTATTTTTAATTTTTATTAGTGAGACATCATGAGGTACAGTTGTAGACTTACACATTTTTGTGCTTGGGTTTCAATTATACAATGATCAAATACCCATCCCTCCACCAGAGGGACGTTTTCCCAGCTTTCCAGGACTGCTCCAAGGAGGGCAAGTGTGAGCGTCTCATGGGCGCCCCCTGGAGCTGGAGCTGAAGGACAGTGCACAAACTTTATGGTAGTGAAGAGAAAGGGATCTGGAGTCAGGGAGCCTGGGATGAATCTAGGGGCACATTGCTTTGCAGTTCTGGTGGCGGGGGGGGGGGGGGGGGGGGGGGAGGGGGGGTTGCTCCCGGAAGTGGGGGGCTCAGGGCCTGGTGACACTCGGGCTGCCTAGCTGGGCTTGCTGCTTCAGTGCTCAGAGCTGCAGCCCAGGGCTGGGGGGAGAGGGGAGAGGCTCTGAATTTGAGACCTGATGTATGCAAGGTACATGCTTCCAAGCACAACTTCTTAGCTCCTCACACTTTTTTTTACACTTTGGGTCACACCCAGCGATGCACAGGGGTTACTCCTGGCACATGCACTCAGGAATCACTCCTGGCGGTGCACGGGGGGACGATATGGGATGCTGGAAATTGAACCCAGGTCGGCGTGTGCAAGGCAACACCCTACCAGCTGTGCTATCGCTCCAGCCCCTTAATTTTCTTTTTAAAATTTTTTTGCTTTTTGGGTCACACCCAGCGATGCTCAGGGCTTACTCCCTGGTTCTGCACTCAGGAATCACTCCTTGCGGTGCTTGGGGAACCATATGGGATGCCAGGGATTGAACCTGGGTTGGCTGTGTGCAAGGCAAACAGCCTATCCACTGTACTATCGGCTCTGGCCCCCTCACACTTTTTTTTTCTTTTGCTTTTTGGGTCACACCCAGAGATGCACAGGGGTTACTCCTGGCTCTGCACTCAGGAGTTACTCCTGGCTCTGCACTCAGGAGTTACTCCCGGCAGTGTTCAGGGGACCGTATGGGATGCTGGGAAATCGAACCCGGGTCGGGCGCGTGCAAGGCAAACACCCTACCTGCTGTGCTATCTCTCCAGCCTCTCCCCTCACACTTCTTAATAGGCAATCCTTTGTTTTCTTTCTTTGCTTTTATTTTGGGGTGACACCCAGCAGCACATAGGACTACTCTAGGCTTGGTACTTAAGGGGGGCAGGGGAGGGATTGCAGAGCCAGGGAATGAACTTGGGACTCCAGCATGGAACACACATACCCCAGGCCTGGTGTACTCTCTTCTAGTCCCCGACAACCCAGTGTCTTTCAACCTGTCTGTTCATCTGCGAAATGGGATTGCAACTGTGGCTCAAGCGTTCCCCACAGCATCTGGGGGGCAGTGAAGAGTAATTTTTGCAGGGGCTGGAGTGATAGCACAGTGGGTAGGGTGTTTGCCTTGCACACGGTTGACCCGGGTTCAATTCCCAGCATCCATTATCGTTCCCTGAGCACCACCAGGGGTAATTCCTGAGTGCAGAGCCAGGAGTAACCCCTGTGCATCTCCATGTGTGACCCAAAAAGCAAAAAAAAAAAAAAAAGTAAAGTTTGCTATAGGATAATGACTGGAACGAATCAAGGTTTTGTTAGCAAAATGTGTCTTTGTGGGACAGGCACACATGTCTTTGTGGCAGTGCTCAGGATTAAGTCCTGGCGGACTGAGGTACCAGTAACTGACCTCGGGTCACCTCAGTACAAGGCAAGCACCCTGCCCACTGTTCTTACTATCACTCCTCCCTCTACCTCCTTTTCTGTAAAACATATTTGCTTTGCTTTGGTTTTTGATTTTGGGGGCCACAACCAGCAGTGCTCAGGGCTTACTTGTGGATCTCTACTCAGGGGTCACTCCTGGTGGGCAGGTTGCTGGGAACCAAACCTGGAGCAGTCGTGTGCAAGGCAGGCACCTTTCCCACCTACTGCATTGTTGTTCTGGCCTCAGGACTTGTGTTTTTAACTTTGTTGGTTGGACGAAGCCAGGAGGGCTCTAGTATATGCATTCAAAGCAAACACTCCAGCACAGACCTATACTCCAACCCCGAATTAAAAGGGCTTTTAACACGTACAAACGAGGGCCTGAATCAAGGAGCATTTAAATGCAGAGTGTGGTGGACAAAAATCAACACCCCACAACTTTTTGGCTAATACCCACCAAGGAGCCCCATCTGCTGGGTGAGTCCAGCACAAACATTTCTTCTGGCGCCTGATTTCTCAGAGCTCTGGATGCCCTGGATTGTCCCTCGGAGTTGAGGCTGAAGAATCTCAATCTCCCAAAGGGATCTTGCAACCCTGACATCACAGAATGTTTCTGGGCCAGCCCGCACAGCCCCTCGGCAAATGCTCCTCCACACTGACCCCATGAGACGGGGAGGTGCTGGCTGCCCGACTCCAGATCCCCCCCTCCTCAGAGTCCAGCTCGCTCGTGCATGTGCGTCAGCCAGCCCAGGGCAGAGGGCTGAGGAGAGGGGCGAGTGCACCCCCCCCCCCCCCAGGACTAGGGGGCTCGGGGACTCACTCTTGGCTGGAGAGCTGCTGACCTGGTGAGAATGGGCCGGAATGTGGCAAGGTAGCTTCCAGCGGGCGTGTGGCAAAGGGTACCAGAGTGAGGTAGGAGCACTCTCCTGTGACTTCTCAAAGGAATGTCTTCTTGGGGCCTGACAGATAGCAGGGTGGGTAGGGAGGGCGCTTGCCATGCACGTGGCTGACCTTGGTTTGATTCCCGGCATCCCATATGGTCCCCGGAGCACCACCAGGAGTGAATCCTGAATGCAGGGTCAGGGGTTATAACCCCTGAGCATCACCAGTGTGGCCCCCAAACAAAAAGGTATGTCTTCTTGGGGCTGGAGTGACAGAACTAAAGGGTTAGCGTGCAGGAAATGCTCCCACCCTGCCCAGTTACTCCCTGCATGTGGCCCCACCGAAACCAAGCCCAGAGAAGCAACTCAGGCACACCAGGGTCCTAAAAAGATTCCGATCGTTTTGAGAATGAGAAGAGTGAGAGTGAGAGGGGGAGAGAGAGAGCGAGCGAGAGGGGGGGGGGGGGAGGAGCATGCTATTCATGAAAGAATAGGGATCTTCCAGAGGGGTCAGCCAAGGGTTAGTCCTGTCTGCCAGAACCTGAAAGGAAGCAATGACACATCTCAGGGTTGACCCGCTGAATGGGGAATGTGTCTCTTCTTTATCAGTTTCTAGGACACAATGGTGGCGCTGGGGGTGGAGAGACACGCTGCCCCCTGCCTGAGTGCTGTGGGGACCAGATCCAGGACAAGCAAAAGCAAGCGCTTTAGCGCTTGGAGATATCGCCTCAGGCCCAGAAGTGTTCTCTTTCAACTCTTAATGGGGGGAGGGGATGTTGGGGGGAAGGGTGTGGAGAGATAGTACAGTGGGGAGGGCATCTGCCTTGGCACACAGCTGATTGACAACATCCCTGTATACCGCCAGCACTAATTCCTGAGTGCAGAGCCAGGAGTTGCCCCCGAGTAACGCAATAAAAAAAGAAACCCTTGATGGGTTCTGTTAGAAACCTCCATAGACATCAAAACAAAGCCTCATTCTATGCGGACCCACCTCTTCTGCCTCGGAAATGCCGCCGCCCACCGTACAGCCCACCCCAAGAACCCACCATCCAAATCAGTAACTGCGCAGACAACGTTGGTTCTTCTCAAACAGTTTAATAGCAAATAAACAAAGGAAGGTACCACACTTGGCAGATACAAAATGACTTTTTGTCCGTGTGTCTGTGCAATTAAAACAGATTTAGGTTCCCCATTGGGACAAAAGGAAAAACACACAAAAAAAGGAAGGAGATTCCTTTTTAAACACATACTCCCTTGCTCCAAACTTGTAACTTTTTTTTTTTAATCCACTACACAAACTCTGTGATCAGGTCAGAAAAGCGACAAGGGCTCTTCTTGCCTTGTTTTTGTTTTGTTTTTTTTAAAAAACCATTAAAGTAAAATCCATAATTTTCTACATAGTACAACACAAGTTCACACAAAAAAGACATTTTTTTCCTTTTTTTCTTTTTTCTTTTTTTTTCCTTTTTTTTTTCTTTTTTGCAAATCAAAACAAGAAAGAAAGGAAAAGCTCAAACAAGGTAAAGGAAATGCATTTTCACGGCTGAATCACGACTCGGAGTTGATTGAATCCCGTTGCTGCGGCAGAACAGACTGTGCGTTTGGTCATAGTGGCAATTTTTTTTTTCTCTTCACATTGTGAAATCACTTTACATTGTTTTCTAGTAGAAAAGGCAAAAAACTGTACAAAACCCCTAGTGTTAAATACAACGTTTGTACCAATAAAAAACTCACACAGGTTTGTCTCCAAAATGTAAAGTTTCTTTTTTTTTTCTTTTTAAATTATTCACAAAAAGCAGCTGGAAATCAGAAAGGCAGCTGCCGCTCCAGGGCCTCAAATCCATGAAAACCACCACAGAACAATTAAAACAATCAGAGAGAAAAGGAAAAGGAAGTAACGTCCAACGTTTGGCATTTGGTTTTATCCACAGGTTTTTCCCAGAGCTCCTCTTGGAATTGAAAGCAAAATATATTGGCAAACACGGATTCTGAACACACAGGGAGGGGGGCCTCGGGGCCTTGTGCCGACAGAGGCGGCTCTGTGCAGTCAGACTGAGGGGTGCTGGCAGTCTCGCTCAGGCTGGGGGTCCCGGGGCTCCTTCCATCTAACCCCCCGCCCCGCGCTGGAACTCCAGCAGCCGACCGTCCACGGGGGCTCCCTGCGAACAGTGCTTCTACCTTCCCCGCCCCCCTCCCCGGCCCCTTGCCCCTCTTCCCAGCTGGCCCACCCCTTCAGCAGCATAGGTCTGGGTGGGCCCGGATTGCCACCTCCCCCCTCTGCAACCTGCTCTCTCCTCCGCAGCTCCCCGCCCTTCCCCTGCCATTCACATTCTCACTCAAGCCCCTAAGACCCTGAGGCTGGATGGTGCTGGGGGAGGAGGGCAAGTTCCCAGCAGGGAACCAGGGAACTGGCTGGCCTGGCACCCAGGAACAGTAGCTATTTGGCTCTTCACCCAATTTAAAAGAAAGAAAGAAGGGAAAAAAAAAAGATCCCTGCCCTTACCCCCACCCCACTAGCCAAGCAGGAGCAGAGCCGCAGTGAAGAGCCCTTGGGGGTGGCGGGGCCCAGGGCTGTAAACAGTGTGAAGACTGTAGTATTGTGCTTGTCGCCAAGGAAAGCGCCGGCAGGGCAGGGGTGCTGCCCTTAGTGCACAGATGGGTGCCTCTGAGTGGTTACGAGCGCCCCCCCCTTTCCGGGCAGAGGGGTGCTCACTCCCTAATGCACTGAAGCCTCCTGTTCGGCCGCAGCCGCCTTCCGGGGTTCTATTCTGCACCTGCCCTCTCGGGCCCTCCCCGGCCTCTGAGGGAGCAGAGGCCGTGAGCTGGGGACAGTCTAAGTGCACAGGCAAACACTCTGAGGGCAAGAGGGGAGAGAGTTGCCGCTTCAAAATAAAACAGTACAATCTTGAAAAAAAAAATTAATCAACCCCACAACAATTTAAAACAGCTTCTTTGAAACCCTTTTAAATCGATCAGTTTTTGCACAAACTATAGAAAACAGAGAGGTGAAGGTGATATATATATATGTATATATATACGAAGGTGTGAAGAAACAGCAGGAAACATGCAAAACTTGTTTTTTTCTGGGCATAATCTTAGTAGGAAAAGAAAAATTCAAAACAAGAACACAAAAACAATACAAAAACAAACCGAAAAAAAAAATCAAAGCATCACATTTTGCTGTGGAGACTGGAGGAACAAGCACGGAGGGGGGAGGGCACGCGGGGCTGCGGGGCCTTGAGGACTCCCAGGTAAGTCTGTGACAGGAAGAATCATTAAAAGGGAACAAGAAAAAGGGCAGCTGGGCCCAGACTGTAGTCTGCAGTCAAAAGGGGACGGGGTCGGCTGTTTTCTGCAGTTAAGAACTCAGAAAAACAAAAATTAAGAAACACAAGTGGTCTCCTCAAGCCCCACAAACTGTTATCAGCAAAATGTGCTCAGGAGCCTCAGAGGTTTTAGTGACATCTTTTATTTCACTGTTTACTTCAAAGTTGTCTTTAAAACTAAGCACACAGAAACAAAGCCTAGAAACGGACTGGCTGTGTGTTCACAGAAATACAAACACCACGCGGTATGTGCTAGTAGGGCTGCTCTGAAGACAATTACAAAGAATTGGAATCACAAAATCAAGTGGTTATCTTATGAAGTTCTAGAAAAATAGATTTTTTTTATATTCAAATGCAAGTTTAAATATTTCCCCTTCAGCAGTCGTTCTAGCAAAACCAATTTGGCAGCACAAAAGAAAAAAAAAGGAAAGAAAAAAAGAAAAAACAAAGAAAGAAACAAACATAATAAAAATACACATCAGCATCAAAGGTCAACACAAGGTCAAAGGTGAGAGTTCAAGCATCAGAGAAGCTGAAGAGACAGGGATTTGGACGATGTACTTGACGCCACATCGACATGCTTTAGGCACAACGATGAACAAACGGCAGGAATCTAGAAAAAAAAACAAACCAGAAAGAGGGAGACCCACTGAGTTACACAGAGCAATACATCCAAACAGAGAGAGAGAACAGGAACACTCACTGTGGACAGCCCTGAAATGAGGCGGCGGGAGGGACGGGGCCGGGGAATGACAGGGAACTTTCGCACATGCTAACAATGGACACAGGGAGAAGTCAAAAAGGACATGGAGGACACCAAGAAAACATCCAATCGCCAGAGACAGGAGGGAACTAAGGCTTGGATTTCCCGAAACGCCCCAGCACGCCGAGAAGGCCTGCGGCAGAGGCGGGTCCCGGAGAAAGCAGCAGAGGCTGGTGGGGTGGGGCCCTCCTCCAGGGGAGAGGCCGGGGTTTCTCAAACCTATGGGGGCGGCCCTTTGCTCCCTGAAATCCAAGCTCTTAGCTGCCACGTGGGCCCTGGCCACTTGCGTGGAACCCAGGAACAGTGTCTGGCTGCATTCAAGGTAAATCAATTTCATGATGACACCCAAGTACGAAACAAAACTACAACGGAAAAGAATACATTCATGTTCGTGAAACCCCACGCGACAGGAAAGGACGGCGGAAGACTCAACTGCCAGTCCCCACACTCTTCTGAACGGAGCCCTTGCCCGCGAGACTGGTGGGGGAACAGCTGCTTCTTCACAGAACCAGCGTTGGCCTGGGGAGGAGAACCCTGCTCCCGGGCGGTGCTGCTGCGCGATCCCACTGAGCAGGGGGAGGGCACTGAGAGAGGTGCCCGGGCTCACCAGCTGGCACAGCGGCCACCCAGGGCCTGGCGGTGGCACAAGCTCCTTTCAGGAAAGAGCGCCCACGAGCAGGCAGAAAGCCGTGGGTATTCAGATCCCGGGGAAACCTCTGTGGGCAAGTCAAGTGAAGCGGGAGGCGGGGCGGGGCAGGGACCAAGTGGGAACAGAGTGGAGTTCTGGGCTTCGCGAAACCCCACGGTGGCCAAGGAGGAAGACAGGACAGAAGGCGAACGAGCCCAGCACCGGCAGCGCCCTGGGGAGCACAGCTCTCTCCCCGGCCAATTCACAGCATTAGCTCCGCCCCCCTCCGACAGATTAGCTGGGCTGCAACCGGGCCACAGGAAGTCAGTAGTTTCACTCATACACAGCACCCTGTGTGTACAACAATCACATTCTGGATTCTATAAAATCCTGGCCTTTTCCAGAGATATAATTTAGGTAATAAATATTCTCCACCCCGGAGCTGTATAAAACTTCTATAAAAATAGAAACGACATTCTTGGTTCCAGCCGGTTGGGATTCAGAACAGCGCCTCCCCAACCTAGCAGTTTTTTTTCTTTTTTTTTTGTTTGTTTTTCTTTTTTCATTTTTATTTTTATTTTTTTTGCATTTATTAAAAAAAAAATCCCATCGTGACCCTGGACGCCTTTGGAACAGTTTCATCCTTGAAACACAGGACACATTTTCTCCCAGTGCGCAGAATTCAAGTTTACACGGTTCAGCTTAAGAAAGTTGTTTCCACGTTTGTTAGAGGGCAACGGACCCAGGTCATCACTATGACAGAAAGGAACAGCCGTCCAGCTTCCACGGGGTAATCCGCCACCACCGACTATCTGTGCCCCAGAGCAAGATGGCCAAGTCCTGTCTGTGACCCAAACGGACAGCAGGACAGGGGCGAGGCCCCCCGACTGGAGCGTGTACAACCGCTCTCGGCCTCCCCTCTGGTGTTAGGGGTCGGGACTCAGGTCTGTGAGGCGCAAGAGCCCAGGGCCCCACTCCCTGGTCTCGGCTAAGAGTCACGTCCTGCCAGGCTGCCTCTGCCAGGTGCGCCTTCCCCGCGGCCTGGCCTTCCCGGCTCCAGCTCCACAGTATCCCTGGAGCAGAGGCAGAGCCCAGCGGCTACGTGGGTCATGGCAAGTGCTGGAATGAACTGTGGGAGGCAGCAGGGAGCTACGTGTAAGTACGAGGACGAAAAGGAACAAGGTAATACTGAGGTAAATGAACACTAAATCCATACGGAAGCTGTAAACGTCCTCTTGTCACCTCTCTCCCCCCAAGAGAAGATGGGGCTGGAGTGCTTAGGAAATGGGCCTGTTCCTTGGAGTGTATACAGCGGGGACACCTCCACCAGGGAGGCCAGCGTGGATGTCTCAATCCTCTGACGTACTAAGCCAGCTACAATGGCAAACAGCGCTCTGGCCGAAAGTGACCTTCAGATTCGAGCACACAGCCAGGAACACCAAGGCCGCCGATGCCCTCTCTTGGGAGAGGGGCCCCCTTTGGTGAGATACTACCAGCCCTTCTTGGACCTGCCCGTAAGAGAGAAACCTGGAACGGAAGTGAAACATTTCAGGATGGAAGTGATGGTCCGGGCTGCGGCCAACTAGCGGGAGGGAACCCCGACAGTGTCTGCCCTCCAGGCCTTCTTTAAAAGAGACCTGTTAGGAAATGAGTCACAGCCTCAGAATTTCGTGTTGCAATGAAATGGATCTCTTTGACGAGCCGTTTCTTCCTAACAGTGACCGGCCTGGTAAGGCCAATGCAGCTCCAAAAACTGGCCAGGCAAGCAGCGAGCAGATGGCGTCTTCCTGCCTTTTGCCTACGCCAGTCTATCTAACAGGGGCTCTATTTCCAGAGAAGCATTAGATGCTTCTTGGGAGACGGGCAGAAATCCTGGACAGGAATCCCAACAGAGAGTGGCCAGCAAGAGCTCTGCTCCCGAACAGGCAAGGAGAGGGAAGCCCCCACGTCCGGCTCCTGCGGTAACTGGGCATCAGAGCAACTCCCCACCCCCAACTTCAGACCCCCTGCCTGGGTGTCAGTTCTCATTACACTCCTCTCAAAGTCAGGGAGGTGCTGGGGGGGGGGGGGGGTCAGTTTTCGGTTTCACTGCATCCTTTCTCTTGGGGGCAGTTGGGGCAGATTCTGATCTTCGTTCTGTATTTCTCCACCCCCATCTCCCTCAGGGCAGTTTGATGTTGGTCCTTCTCAATACATTGGTTACAAACACAGCAAACTTTAAATAAAGGATGGGGGGAAAAAAAACAAAAACAAAAAAACCAAAACACCTCAGAATATGGCACCTAAACTCCAAAGTAAAACACTGGAAACCAAAGCACAAACTCGTCCTCTGTACGAAGCGAAACTCCCACAGAAGGCAGTAGCCGAGTCTTCGGGGCAAGCTGTGCCTGCGAGAGTGGCAGGGATCAGGGTCCAGGGCTGTCAACACACAGCTTTTGGGCTTCCAATCATTAAGGGTGCTCCTCCCCCACTTACCAGGAGACCCTCTCACGCCAGTCTCAGAGGGGAGCACGCTCAGTAGGGCTTGCTATCGTTCTTCGAACGTTTGAGCTGCACTTTAAGCCGCTTCATGCCAATCTGAAAGCCGTTCATGGACTGGATGGCAGCTTGAGCCGAAACAGGATTGTCGTAACTCACAAAACCTGGGAGTGCAAGCAGAAACCCAGTGAGCGCAGGAGGAGGCCAGGGGTTTTTTCAGTCCCACTATGGAAAGTTACTTTAGCGTCTCAGAGAGCAACTTCCTAAGCAGGCACAAGGACTCTGGGAAACTGGAACAAAATTAATTAGGTTCCTGGCAATCCTTGACAGCTACATAAACTAAGCTCCCGGGAATACTTGACATCTATAGGGTGCTTTGATGTTTTCCAGCCAAATCAGTTTTTTTCCGGTATTTATTCTTATCTCTGAAATGGCAGTTAAGACAGAAATCAACATCAGCATTACAGAGATGAAAACACTAAGGCGCAAAAGGAGGTCAAATGCCCTGCAGGATGGGTCAAGACAATAACCTAAACCCAAACCCAGGTTTTTAGCAATGAGTTCCATCGTTTTTGAGTAAGAGCCCACGCCCCCTTCCAGGGTCCAGAGCAGTCGACATACCAAAACACTTGCTCAGGTTTGTCTGCTTGTCTATGAAGACCTTGGCAGACACGACGTTCCCAAAGGGCATGAACATCTGCAGCAGGTCCTGGTCTCCAAACTCCTGGGGCAGGTGGTAGATGAAAAGATTGGCGCCCTCTGGACCTTCAACAAACCCAGTCATTAAAAAGATCATCAGTGTTAAGTACGTTTATTTCCCTAAACCAACTATCTCCCATTCTACCTTGTGGAAACGCACTGTTCCCATCACTGGTTCACTGGAAGAACTACAGATTCTCCAAATACAGAAGGATGAAGGGAGGGACTGTCCCTGCAACAATTCCTTCAGCAGCAGCCTTACTTCCTACCAAAGGACATTAGAATTTGACCTTATGGAAGGATGGTGTGCTAGAAAAGCGAGGCAAGCAGAGAGGGCCAGAGCGATAGCATGATGGGTAAGGCACTGCCATGCCTGCGGCCAAACCGCATTTGATACCAGACACCGCATGTGGTCCCCAAGCCCACCAGGAGTGATCCCTGAGCACAGACCCAGAAGTACAGAAGTTAAGCCCTAAGCACTGCTTAGGCCCCCAAAGCTCAAATAAACAAAGCCAGCGAGCAAAGCTGAAGAGAGGGCTCCGAGAGGGGAGAGCATGCAACGCCCAGGAGATAGCCCCTGAGCTGGAACAGGTGTGGCTTCAAAACAAAGACATTATAAACAGAAGAGGGAACCAAACAGTAGCCAGCAAGCAGCTGCGGGAGGCAGAAAGGGGCAAGAAGGGACAGGGGTGCAACTGTCACAGCGGTGGTCACTTAAGGCTGTGTTCAACAGGATTCACAGAGCTGTACTTGAAAATGTGTGGATTTCACCACCGGCAAATGTGCGTCGGTTAAAAGAGGTAATATTTAAAACACATGCCAAGGGGCTGAAGTGATAGTACAGTGGGTAGGGCGTTCGCCTTGCACGTGGCCAACCCGAGTTCGATTCCCAGCAGCCCATATGGTCCCTCAGGCACCGCCAGGAGTAATTCGAATGACCAGGAGTGACCCCTGTGCAACACTGGGTGTGACCAAAAAGCAAAAAAACAATAATAATAAAAAATAAAAAGACATGCCAAGGGACTATACAGGAGTGAAGGCATTCGCCATGCACTACAGACCCGGTTTGACTGCCAGAACTACACACACCTCTCAGGAGCACCACCAGGAGTAATCCTGAGCACCACTGGGCGTGGCTCAAAAACTCAATGTGTCCCCCTTGCTCCTAAGAAAGACATGTAACACAACTGCCGCCCTCAGCCCCCGGTTGCTGTGAACGCATTACTGTGCTCTGCTGCACTCAGACCCAACTTCCCTTCATCCTCCTTTAGATCACTTTCCCTACTTCCTCAGGTCTCTGCTGTAATAACAAGGACACCTTCCCTCAGCATTTGGCAAGCTCCCCCTCCGCATCCCTAAGGCATCCAGTGTCTAATTCAGAGCAGGGGAGAGACCAGGAGACCAGATTCCTCGTAGATATGCTAAGGGAGGGTCCTTGTCTTTTTTCATACGTTACAATCTAACATTTGCAGACCCATGTTGTAAAGGCTTCCTAGAAATCCCCTCCTGTATACTACACCTCATGTCAGAGCACACGCTTCCCACTCCATCGACTTCAGACAACCATTCACATCCCGTTACAAAGCAGAGACCAGAAAGTGATGCAAGTGCTAAAGGATACAGTCACAGGGGACACAGATAGACAAAAATCCTCTAATTTATAATCTAGAAAGACATCATAATGTTTACTACTGTGTCAGACACAACAATTACTGCCTTTCTTCATCTGAAACTGTAATGCTGTGGAAGTGGCTCAGTAGTGAAAAACATGTCTGACAAGTCTGAGATCTGGGTCTGATCTCTGGCATCGCCCGCACCCACAGGAAGGTAAGGCCATGTGCCAGGGAGACGGCTCAAAAGCCTGGACTACATGCTCTGCATGCGAAAGTCCTAGGTTCAGTCCTGGGTTCAATCACACGGTCCCCAAGCACCACAGGGAGTGGCCTCCTCCGAGCACTATGCCAGATGTAGCTCCCAGAACCAGGAGTAAGAGGAGTTTAAAAGAAAAAAAACCAAACCCAAGATAAAACAGTAGCCCTGGAGATGTGGCTCAATGGCAGAGCAAGTGTGTGTAATCCCGGGAGGCGGAAACAACCTAACCCGCATTCTAGGAGTGCGTACAGAGGATCTGATCGGAACCACACCCAGAAAATAGCCCAAAAGCAGTTGCAAGGGTGGGTCTGGTCCCTTGGCGGTTTCTCTCACTCTCTGCCCGCCTTCCAGTTCTGGTGTAGATGCACGACGCCCACTGCAAGTACTCACCTTCCTTCTGGCTCCCAGCAGCACCGATGCTCTGCTGCGTCAGAAGGTTCTGGCTGTACAGAGTGGGGAGGGCCGCAGCAGCGTATTGCTGGATTCCCGAGTAGGCCTGTGTGAGGGCCTCCATAGTGCTCCCAGTGCCATTGGAGAGGCCGCTACTGCCCAGGCCGCCGTTTAAAGCAGCCATCCCTTGATTGGAGAAGACAGCAGGGTTAACACACGAGCAAGGCTCAAGGGACGTCGAAGCCAAGCACGTGCATGGACACGGGAAGGGGAAGCACCACAGATCTCGCATTCCCCCTTCCTGTTTGCCCAGGAACAGCGCGCCCGTCTGATGTCGAACTTCAAGTCCCTGAGTGAGGACATTCAATGACCACACCTAGGTATGGTGCTCTCCACTGCCTTCAACTCTGCTGAGAAAAGACACCATTTACTTAGGTCTGCCTCAGTTTCTCTTTGGCTGTTTAGGGTGTCTTTCTTACGCAGAGCAGAAATTTGGTAATGAGAAAGTCCCAGGACTGGGAATTACCTGCGTTGGCAGCCTAACGCAAGAGGCACCTAATACCAAGCAGCAGTGGGCACTTACTTTCAAGGGGCCCAGACCCCGGACTCTGTTCTCACTAAGCATTTTTTTTTTTTTGCTTTTTGGGTCACACCCGGCGACACTCAGGGAATCAAACCTGGGTCGGCCGCGTGCAAGGCAAATGTCCTACCCGCTGTGCTATTGCTTCAGCCCCATCTCACCGAACTTCTCAGAACCCTCAAAATATCCTATTCCCACTTGATGACAAAAACGACTTTAGTATGGTGGCTGAACATTACGGCTGGTTAAAGGAAGGTGAGTGTTTGTGTGTATGTGTGTGTGTGTGGGGGGGGGGGGGGGCGGGGGCGGGAAAGGTGGGATTTCACTCAGGTTTGCCTTGAAACCCAGTGATTATTTCTAGCTACTCTGGGTCAGCACACTCATTCTAATTAAGGTGCTCCACGGTCATTTAAAACATGCCACCCGTACGAAGAAAGGCCTGCCAGTCACCGGAAACTGCCCTTACCTGCCAACGAGCTGACATTGAGGCCTGCTGTCGCTCCAGCTAGTGTCTGCAGGGCCCCGAGGGAGGCAATGGGGTTGACGGAGCTGCTGCTGCTGGAGCTCGGGGAAGACCCTGCTGCCAAAAATTCACGGATCAGACTCAAGCCAACACTCGCTTTGTCATGTCAATAGGAACCAAAGCACAAGAGTGATATTATTCAAGGGTTCTCCCTGTAAATTCAATTTCCTATTTTTTTTTACTATCTTGCAAAAACCTGAAATCAAATGACAACTACAACAAACTGAAAATTTATGAGATATATTATAACTCAGAGCATTATATTAGAGCATTTGCTGGTCATGATATGACCCTGTGGAATCGATGTCACCCACTTTCTAGAAAATATGATATACGCCTCTGCTGGGATTGTGCCCATGCTTACCTGAACTGGTGAGTACGCTGAGGGGGCTGCTGGATGTCGTGAGGGCATTGGTACCACTTGGTGTGTTCTGAGCTGCGCTAGCTGCAGCTGCTAACGCAGCCAGATTCTGTAATTGCATTGCATTTAATCCTGCAACATCCAAAGGAAGACATCAGCCGGCAGATCAAGGGACTTCATCTCTGCTTTGGCAAGGACAGTGAACAGTGGCAGGAGGCTGATCGAGGCAGAGGAACTGTTCTAGGTAAGCCTTACAAACAATACTCTAGAGGGCTCCAAAAGGACTCCATTTTCCCTCCACTCATTAAAGACTCGACATCGTTTCCTCTGAAAAGATCTAATCTAATAGTTCGCCACCCCAAGCGTGCATTAATAAAAGAATAAGCTGTTATTAACAAACCAAGCAGGAGGCTGCTCTGGCATCTACAACAGAGGTAAGTATCTGAGAGCAGAGTGTCCAAATATGGGGCAGAGACAGAGAATACAGCTCTATCCTTCACTTATATCCTACAGGAGATCTGCCTTTTGAACGAGCTAAATTTGTTGAAGAGATCCAGAAGGACAAGGGTAGAATACATATGAAAATAGCAACAGGAAACAGAATTAAACAAACAAACAACAACAACAACAACAAAACCCAGACTTGAAGAACAGATAAGTATGAGAAGGATATGGCAAAGTTAGGGCAAGCCTTTCAAACAGAAACTCGGCAACACAATTCAAAGGGTAACAAGAAAAACAAAAATCGCATTGGCAATTGTTGGGAACCATTTACCAGATGGAAAAGTCAGACAGGGCACTGAAAAAGACTAAAATCTGGAAACACAAACCCATAATCAACCAATTTTCCAAAAGCAAAGCAAGCTTCAAGGTCCTGGGACAAAGTGAACTATCGTGAATTTCCCAGGGGCCGAACACAGTTCACCTGACTGCCCTTCGTCCAACGCTCTCATACGTCGTGGCCTCATCTGCTAGAGAAGGGGCAAGACAGGAAGCTCTGGAACTGCCTCCCCGCAAAAACCTCTCTGATTTCCGTCTGTTCGTGGAACCCACACACACAGGCACTTGCCACTAAAGTTTTCCATGCTTTATCGGCAGCAACAAAGGCACTTCACACCTAATGCATCGCTGTACGGAACTGGGTGAAAGTCCCGAGTTTCAGCCGAGCTACTGCCTGGAAGCCATCTCAGGTTTCTGCCTTCAGTCACCGGAAGTCAATTACTCTGTGCGATTTTTCTCTTTATCAAAATGGCCTTGGATAATGTAGGGGGTGCTAACAGCTCTTTTCCATTCTCTTCCCCAACAGAAACTGAAAGGGGGTGGTGAAGCAGCAGCAAACCCCAGAGCAATCTGGCATCAACTGCTGACAGCATCACCTTCTAGAGACGAGGCAGGGGAGGATGGGGGATGTTCACCAGGGCCTGATTACATAATGAGCGGGGGGGTCGTCTTCTCTCGGGCTGTCTCGAACTGGATGGGCGGGTCTCACTGCTGCAGCCTCTCGGGCGCGGTGAGACACTTACCTCCCATCGGGTGGAGGCTGCTCAGGGTGCTGAGGTTCCCGGAGGAGGCAGTCTGCTGTAGGAGCTGCAAATAAAGCTAGACATTACACCAAAAAACAGAACAAGAATGAGAGTGAGGGCTGGTTCTGCACCTGGGATAACTCTACAGCACAGCAAAGCGAGAGTGCAGAGGTCCCCAGAGAGAAGGAAGGAAGAAGGCAAGACCCCAAGCGAGCGCGACAGAGACAGGAGGCATCCCACAGCACAGACACAGCGAGGCAGCGAAAGCCTTGGCAGGACAGTGACATCACACAGAAGCCAAGCACCGTCTCCCTGAACACACACTTGCGGCAGAGCACAGCAGAGCAGAGACCTAAGGTCCACTCGAGCAACTAAGCTGATGGGGGGTGGTGCATGTGACGGGCTGGCAGCTGCCGGGGCACCCTCCCAAGTCTCTGCAAGAGAGGCCCACATATTTATTCTGCTGGGTGTTCCCATCCGAATCACCAACTTCTGCTTGAGCAACTCTCTGAAATATCTACTATCTCATCAGACCATTTCGCATACTTCTCTGAGTTATCCTTTACCGGCCTCAATGGTCCTATAACTACATCAATCGCTCTGGTGCTATGTGTCCATCAGTCCGATGCCCTCCCCTTTAAACAGGTCTTCGCTGTGGCAGAGCAAATGGCTGATGGACATGCCAATGGAAAACTTCTTCCACTGACTATCTCCTAGCAAGAGGATCTGTGCAGGAGCCACGTTAGCAACCACAGTGTTCCTCTAACCAGCCTGCTGAAAATCTGCTACATTCATGCCCGGTCACGGTTCCTTTACAGACATGTCTTGTTTCTGGATCCTTTCCTCAGTATGTTGTCCATTCTCCCAGACATCCTGGTTCCTCTGCAACCTTTACTGACCTCCAGAAACAGTACTGGGGGAAGCAGGGAGAGGGAATATAACCAAAACACATGTACACAGCTCTTACCAGCTTCTCAAATGAGTCCACAATCCCACAAAGTTTTGGAGCCTCTAGCCCACTAGAAACCAGCTCCACATCTTCCAGAAAGAACCTAGTAACTGATGCTGTCCCTACAACTTAGTCCATTAGTTCCCACGTTTTCATTTTTTGTCGTCTTAAATATCTTCGGGAATGTATTCAGTGCCAACTGATAAAGACTACGGACACTACCCTAGATACCTTAATTTCCTTTCTAAATGAGAATAGTTTGAGTAGAGAACCACATCTAACTGAGACAGAGAGAGACCACAACACTCATTAATATACTGTGATGCATTTGCTGGATGTGGTAACAAGTTAAAAGGGAAGTTTCCCTTTAAAAATATATGGAAGACAATCTGTAATGAACAAATGCCTGTCATGGAGGCTATTCTCAAAATATTACAGTTTTGGCAAAAGATTAAAGTATTGTCTAAATCTTCCGAACTTAACAAGATTCCAGATTGAATCCTGAGATAAAACAAATATCCAAACTTTAAACTTCAGACGCGTACTAGCCAGGATAAACTGGGATTTCTCCGAACATTTAGAAATACAGAGAATTTGGGCATCAAGTTAGACAAAAACAGTATGAGGGTCAGGTGTCATTGCTTCTGTTCTGTATATATATACATATATATATTTTTTAAATTTTTGAGCCACACCCAGCAGTGGTCAGGGTTTATTCCTGGATCTATGTTCAGGAATTACTCCTGGCAGGCTCAGGGAACCATATGGGGCACAGGGAATCGAACTCAGGTTGGCAATGCACAAGGCAAAAACACCCTACCCTTTGTACTATCACTCTGACCCCTAAAGAACAATATTTTTAAATGGTGATAAGTGAGTATTATTATTCCCAAGTATATATCCGTCTATACAAATCTAGTGGTTTTGCAAACTTGTTTTTCCGGGCCACACCTGTCAATGCTCAGGGTTTAATTTCTAGCTCTGTACTCATGGATCACTCCCAGAGGGCTTGGGAGACAGTATAGGGAGCTGGGGAAAAAACCTGGTTTGGTAACCTGTAAGGCAGGAGCCTTACCCATAGTACTATCCCAAGCCTGCCACACACACCCCCTTCTCTTTCCTTGGGTTTAGTTATTTTAGGGGTTACTGTGCTCAGGGCTTACACTGAGCAGGGTTCGGGGGACCATATGGGCTGCCAGGGATTGAACCAAGGCCAGCAGTATATAAAGCAAGTACCCTACCCACTGCATTACTGCTCTGGCCCCTTACAGCTGACCTTGAATTTTTAGTGACAGGTTTTGTGTGTCTCGGCTGGTGATACTCAGGGGTTACCTGCAGCACACGGCCTAGAGGTGCTTTCCAGCACTTCTGGGCAACTGTTTGGTATTAGAGCCTGGAGCTCTGTTCCGCATGCAAAGCTTATGCACCAGTCCTTTGAGCCATGCCCCCAACCCATGCAGATGGGTCTCTTTCAAGTATCTTGTGCGGTCTGCTGAACACATGCCTTGCATGCAAAAGGCACAAGTTCAATCCCTGGCACTGATATCCAGTTCCCTGGCAACCTCCCAACCCCCAAACCAGACCCTGTTCCTCTTTTGGAAGATAGAACTCAAATTTAACACTGAGGTGGGGAAATCAAACGAGGGGCTGGAGGGATAGTACAGTAGGTAGGGCACTTGGCTTGCACATGACTGACTGAGCTTAGATCCCGGCGCCCCATATTCGCACGCAGGAATCACTCCTGAGCACCGGCAGGAGTGATTCTTGAGAGCAGAGCCAGGAGCATGCATGGCCCGAAAAACAAAATCTGATGCAGTGAAATGAAATGCACACTGTGGCACTCATTCATTCATTTAATAGTGTCCATGTTAACTACTTGAAAGCTAATGGTAGTGGAAGGATAAATTATCAGACTCTTCAGGAAAGACTCAAATCCTACTTTAATAATACCATCTATAACCAGTAGACACGGAAAAAGGTATTTGGTAGCTATAATATGTCCCTTCTCTTGGGAGTCAGGTCTTGGGAGAATGTTTTTGTATCTTCTGTGGAGGGTGGGGAGTACATGAAGGCACACCTGGCAATACACAGTTTACGCTGCAGATGAGCACTTGTGGTGCTGGAGATCAAAACAGGGTGGGCCATGAGCAAAGGCAACTGCCTTAAACCCCTGTTCTCTCTGGCCCCTCTGACCTAAGACTTATGACCAGAGAGAGATTAAAGATTACCCAATTTTAATCCACCCCCCCCCCCCCACGCCACTCTGGCCACATCTGGCAATGCTCAACGAACGTTCCTTCTAGCTGAGCGTTCATGGGACAATGCAGTGTTGGAAACCAAGCCGGAGGCCTCGGCATGCAAACCGGGCGCTCTCTATTTCCCTGGCCCACACTGTCTGAACTCCTTACGGAACTGTTAGTCAGGGACAGCGGAAGAAGAAACAGCCAGGAGCTTGCACAGTCTGCAGAGAGCAAGCCACAAAGACTCACTGCTAAATACTGGGGTCCGAGAGTATTTAGACCAGCGAGGTTTCCCCACACAGACGCTGCGCTGATTTGCTGCATCTGCTGCTGGAGCTGCTGGGCCATTCTCTTCTGCTCTTTGTCCTTCTGTGTATCAGCAAATTTTACCACCATGGGAGATGAGCAACCCTATAAAAATATCAAAATCAAGAGTCAAATTCTTCCTTCAAGATGAAGGGTCAGATCACAGATCACGGTCCTCCCGTTATTCATCGATTTGCTCGAGCGAGCCCAGTAACGTCTCCATCTTGAGATTTGTTGTTACTGTGTCTGGCATATCGAATACGTCACGAGTAGCTTGCCAGGCTTTGCCGTGCGGGCGAGATACTCTCGGTAGCTTGCCGGGCTTTCTGAGAGGGGGCGGACGAATGGAACCCGGCTCGGCCGGGCCAGCTGCGTGCAAGGCAAATGCCCTACTGCTGTGCTATGCTCCAGCCTGAAGGAGGAAAAAAAAAATCCTTTCTAGTGTTAAGAAAGCTGCAGCCTAATTTCATTTACTGCCAAACGATCTTTTTCCTGATAGACACAAGGGACAAAAGACAACTTAAAGGACAACTACTTTCAATGTATTAATTCTGGAAAAAGAAAGGATGTTTTCAACTTTAAGATGCTGGGTCCTCGGGGCTAGAGCAATAGCACAGTGGGTAGGGTGTTTGCCTTGCACACAGCCGACCCCAGGTTCGATCCCCAGCATCCCATATGGTTCCCTGAGCACCGCCAGGAGTAATTCCTGAGTGCAGAGCCAGGAGTAACCCCCTGTGCATTGCCAGGTGTGACCCAAAAAGCAAAAAAAAAAAAAAAAAAAAAAAAAAAAGATGTTGGGTCCTCTTAACCTACGGGCAATCAGGAGCTGTGCACTAAGGAACTTCCCCGTTTTGTTCATCTGTTCCCTACCTCCATGGTCTGTGCTTGGTGCATTGCCTTGATAGCTGTCTGTGCCATGGCTCTTGTTGTAAAAGTCACAAACGCACAGCCTGGTAAGAGAAGAGTCATAACTCATCATTTGTTTATTTGACATTTACTGAGCAACTATTGAATACCAAGTTGATATAAACACAGTTTAGTGATATAAACACAGTTCCTATCTTCAGGGTAAATGAGCTAGCAAGAGATAGATTTGTTAACACTATATTTTAATTAAAAATCAGAGATGCAGAGATGGAAAGAAACTCCTTGAGAGATAAAGGAGAAATCTACACTCTAGTTCTTTAGAAGGAAATGTATCCATTTTGGGATTAAGATATCTTTGGGGTGGTGCCAGGAATTGAACCCAGAGCCTCACACATGCAAGTCAAGTGCTCCATCAGTGAGCTTACATCCCCAGTCAACATGAGACTTAATACATGATACCTAAGTGCAGAATGGAGAATCCTCAAGAAGGCTGGATGAATACTAGAGAGGTAACTATATAGGACTCATCAGGATGTGACCAATATATACACAACACCAAACCCAATCTCTCGATCATTACTAGGGAGCACTGGTTATCCTCAGTTCAGTTCACAAGAGATTATAGGGCCATGAGCTGTGGCTCAGAGGCAGAGAACATGCCCTGCATGGGAGGCCTTGCCTTCCAGCCCCCAAAACCCATCCCTATAGCTGTGGCTCCCCAATCAGAATGCCACATACTCAACCCTAGCCTGTAACAACAAATGAAGATTTACATTTAAGACAATTATCTTTAAATGATAAAACAACAACATCAAGAGCAACAACAACAATGATACCTGCACCCACCTCGACTTAGACCATCAGGTCCCCGCAATATCCGGCATTCTTCAATCTGTCCAAATGAAGAGAACATGACTCGGATGTCATTTTCAGTGCACTTCTTGGAAATCATGCCAATAAACAGCTTCCTGTCTTCCACTGCTAACAGAGTAAAGCACAAAAGGCTTAAATATTCTTATAAGAGGCAGCACAGCGCAGACTCTGAACTCACACCACCCGGGCTGGAATCCAGGCTCTCTGCTTTTGTATCATATATCACAGATTACAAGATACACCTTCCCACGTCAATAATTCTGCATCGCCTCTTAAAACTACATGAGTGTCTAGAGAGAGTACAGGGGTTAAGGAGCTTGCCTTGAATGTGGCTGAGCCCACTGGATCCCTGGCATCACATATGATCCCCAAAGTATTTCCTGGAATGACTTCTGAGCTCAACCAGGTATGGTCCAACACCACCCTACCAAACTCTGAAACACTAAATGAAGACTATCTTAAACTTTTAAGTGGAACATGTAGATAAAATATAGCAGTATTGTGATTTTGTGCAAGTTAACTTAAACAGGGCCGGGAATGCGGCTCAGTGGTAAGTGGATGTCTCACGTGTGAGGCCCTAGCATAGTTTAAAAAACAAAACAAAAAACCATTCTATGACTGTTGAAAGTTAATCATTCTAGCCTTCCTCTTTCTGGAGAAGCCCATGTTCTCTCCTGAAAAACATAAGTTTTTCTTTCTCTCCCCTCAGACCTCTCTAAATTTCTTTCATTAAAAAAAATTTTGTTTCAGGGCTGGAGCAATAGCACAGCGGGTAGGGCATTTGCCTTGCATGCGGCCAAACCAGGTTCGACTCCCAGCATCCCATATGGTCCCCTGAGCACCGCCAGGGGTAATTCCTGAGTGCAGAGCCAGGAGTAACCAACCCCTGTGCATTGCTGGGTGTGACCCAAAAAGCAAAAAAAAAAAAAAAAAAAAAAAAAAAAAAAAAAAAAAATTTGTTTCATTCATGGGTCACATCCGGCAGTGCTCAGGGCTTACTCTTGGCAGGGCTTGGGGGACCATATAGGGTGTTCAGGATTGAACCTGGGTTATTTGTATGTAAGGCAAGTACCCTACCCACTCTACTATCTCTCTGGTCCTTCTAAATTTCTTTCAATAAAAACTATTTTGCCTCACCGAAGGGACAAAAAGTAATTACATGCCTGTTTTTTCACCTTTACAGAGTAAAGAAAATGACTTTCCAACTTGGTATATATTTCATCCCAGAAGCTCGAGTTTTTTTTTTCCCCCCGGGGGGGGGGTGGGGTGAGGAGGGAGGTCACACCCGGCAATGCTCAGGGGTTACCACTGGCTTTGCACTCAGGAATCATTCCTGGCGGTGCTCGGGGGACCATATGGGATGCTGGGAATCGAACCTGGGTCGGCCGTGTGCAAGGCAAACGCCCTACCCGCTGTGCTATTGCTCCAGCCCCATGCCTGTTTTTTCATCAGGTAATAGGGATACCTTGGTTTACCTCAAAGGTAGCTAGAGGTAAATACAGTCTTGATGTCTTAACAGACTTTATGTCTTAACATCTCGATTCAGAGATCAATAGCTGCCTCCTATTGGCAATATTAAGTTTTGGGCTGGAGAGATAGCTGAATAGACTGGAAGGAACACATTGGGTTTGATCCCCAGCACCACATGGTCTCCTTACACTTACAGGTGTGCTCCCCTGGGGGAGGGGGAGATTAGAGATAAAGGAAAGAGGAGAGGGTGAGTGGAGGGAGAAAGAGATGAAAGGGCAGACAGCAGAGAGAAAAGTTTACAAACTCAATTGATACAAAAAACCAGAACACACCTTTTAGTGAAAGAAACTATCCACTTTCCTTATCTAACAGTTCTTAAGAGGACTTACTCCTCTTTCTTAACTTGTCCATTCTCTTACTCCTATGTCTATATATAAGAAATTATAGTGACCAGTGGAGTTCATGCAAAATTCAATCAGCCTAATCAGTGGCTGAATAAATAGCAGTACCCCTACATTAAAAAAAAATAATAATAAATTATAGTGACCAAAGGCATGCCAATTTCACTTTAAAATGTTCTTGTGAAGATTTCTGAAGACTTTATCTCATTTATTCTACTGATTGTTTTGGGGACACACCTGGCAGTGCTCAGGGATCACTCCTGGTAGGCTCAGGGGACCATACTTGATGCAGGGAATCAAACCTGGGTTGACTGGAAGGCAAGCGTCCTACCCACTGTACTATTGCTCCAGCCTCTCTCATTTATTCACAGAACTATTTAAACGGGGGAAAATCCAGACAGTTCAGATGACAGGATATTGAGCACAATACTATTTGGATAACCTAAGACAGCAAACTAGGAACCTTATGAGCGGACCTTTACACATTTGTTTACTTACCATTGTTCTTCTCACTGTCAGCAGGTTTCATCTGTATAGGATGATGCATCTTCAAAAAAAGAAAATATAAATGAACAAAGGCTTTTAAAAACTATAAGAACTCAAAAAAAAAAAGCAAAGAAATTGATGTTTTCTTTTTTTTTCCTTCAATTTTTATTAGTGAAACACCATGAGGTCCAGTTGTAGACTGGACAAATTTTTGTGCTTGGGTTTCAGTTACACGTAAGTTTTCTTTTTGAACTCAAATCTGACCCATGTTCCCTCATCCCATGCCAATTATGAGTTAAGAAGTCAAAATGCGCCTGACCAGGGGCTCTATTGTCATCTTCTCTCCTCTGAAATGTCACCGCTATGTCCACTTTACACCAATTCTTTGAAGTCACCCACCCCAGCTCTCACTGTGTGCCTGTGGGAGTTTCGTGCACCCAAACCTCAGTGCCCCAGGCTCATCTTACCCCTGGGAGGACCTTCATGTTGTGAAGAGCATTCTGAGCTTCTAATGCAGCTTTACGGGTGTAAAATGTAACAAAACAGCACCCTGTAACAAATAATATTTTACCACATCAGATCAATCTTTTGAAAGTAAGATGACAATCTCTAAAGCATACCCTCTTCCACAGAGAGAATGGAAGGACTTACAGGGTTTCTTACAATTAGCAAGAGGGGTGCCTGGTGGACAGGATAGTAGGGGGCAGGGTCGTTCCTTGCAAGCCCGGGATTGATCCTGGTACCCTGAGCATGCTGGGAGTGATCCCTGAGCACAGCTGGGCATAGCCTCAAAACCAAAACAAATATACAATATAAAACCAGCCAGAAGGAAGAGAGGGATCGGAGAGCAGCGTGCAGGAGTCACCCAGACACAAACACTCACACTACCTTCTATGGAGACTTATTGACTGCTACAGTCTCCTAGTCCTACTTAAAAAAGCAAAAAATTATTTTTTGTTCTTGGACCACACTTAACAAGACACAAGGACTGAACCTAGGCCTCCCAGATGCGAAGCACTGTGCTTGAGTTCTTTGAGTTAGCTCCAACTCCCACTAAAATGCTCTACTGCTTTTGGGCCACACCCGGTTGTGCTCCGGGGACAATGTGTGGTGCCGGGGATCCTGCAACACCTGCCCTGCTGTACTCCAGCTCTGGCCCGCCCATCCAGTTCCTTACAGGGCCTGTAAGCACTTCTCTGAAAGATGATCTCCCAGCCTTGTGGCCGTGGGTAAAGGAGAGGAGGAGCGCATGCTTTGTATGCAAAGATCCAGACTGGATCCCTGGCATGAAAGTGTGCACTTAGCGCCACCAGGAGCAATTCCCAAGGACTTGAAAAGCTAGGAACTGCGCTGGTTAGTACAACAGCAAGGCACTTGCCTTGAACAGCTGGCTCAGGTTTGATCCCAGGCCCCCCATCTGGTTCCCTGAGCCCCGCCAGGAATGATTCCCGAGTACAGGAATAAAGGCTGAGCACCACCACTGGTATGGCCCCAAGACAGGAAGGAAAGGAGGAAGAAAGCCCGCAGTGGGGGGGAGCTTCCCCTGACCGTCACTGGGTGCGGCCTAAAATTCAACAATGAAAAACAAAACACAACCTCCCCTATAAGGCACACAGTACAGCAGGTACTGATCTTGACTTGTACACGGCTGACCTGGGTTTGATGCTGGGCACTGCCAGGAGTAAACTCGAGCACAGCTGGGTGTGGCCCCCAAACAAACAACAGAACAAATAAATAAATAAATAAAGGCACAGCTACAAACAAGACAGCCAGGGGTCCTGTTGTTCTGTGGCTTGTAGCAGACGAGGAATCTTCCTCAGAAAGCTACTTCTTTGTATTGCAACCAGTTTCTACCATATGCCTCAAAAATAATAATCATTTGTAACCTAAAAGAAAAACCTCTTTATGGCCTTCCTTGGGTTTTTTTTTTTTTTTTGGGGGGGGGTCACACCCTGTGATGCACAGGGGTTATTCCTGGCTTTGCACTCAGGAATTATTCCTGGTGGTGCTCAGGGGGCAATATGGGATGCTGGGAATCGAGTCTGGGTTGGTCACGTGCAAGGCAAACGCCCTACCCGCTGTACTATCACTCCAGTCCCTTTCTTTCGGTTTCTGGTTCTCATCAAATACAAATTAAGATTCTAACAGACATGGCACAGCCCCAGATCCACAGACTTTGTGTTTTGGTACCTTTACTGGAAATAGAAGGTGTGTCTTGTCATCCTACGAGATATTATACAAATTTCTTTCAAAATCATTCATAATCAAGACAAGACTACCATACGCTATACTGCTGGTCCTTTCCAAAAATGCCATTACTGCATAATTTTATTAGCTAGATACAAAAGGAAGCAACACATACTCCTAGAACCTCTACAATTAATTTTAAACATGACAATGATTCTTGCTTACGCCTGCACTGTAAACAACTTCACAGAAACTGGCCATTTGGAAAAATAACAGTATCTGTGTGTATATCGGGCAAAGCTCATGCATATCTCCTACCAGTAGCCCTGTAAAACTTGAACTCCACTGAGTATTTCTGGAAGCAGCACAGCTGTTTTATCTTTTCCTGTTCTGTACACTACACCAATAAAACTAGTCCCCCCAAGTTGCTAACACATCCTATGTGGCCTTCTTGATACCATGGAAATCCGAGGACAGCGAACAGTCTTTAGTCTTCTTTTAACGTTCCCTAGCCAAAAACCAAAGAAAACTTTATGGCCGTGACTGGGGATGAAGCTCAGAAGTAAAGCATGCTTGTCTATTTTGTTTCTGGGTGACACCCAGTGAAACTGAGGGCTTACTTCTGGCTCTGTGCTCAGGGATCACTCTTGCCAGTGCTTGGCAGACTATACAAAGTACCTTATCAGCTGTACTACCTCTCCTGCCCCTCAATGGTAGGACATCTGCATGTCTGAAACCATGGATCCACCCTCTGGTACCAGATCCCACTCACCAAAAAATAGGGGCTGGCCATACCTGGCAGTGCTCAAGGATCACTCCTAGCAGGGTTCGGGGGACCATATGTATGCTGGGGATCAAACCTGGGTCTGCCACATGCAAGGCAAGTGCCTTACCTTTTATACTCTCTCTGGCCCCAAGAGAACTCTTGGTGTAGTTTGGTTTTTGAGCCACCCCCAGTAGTGGTCAAGAGACCACTCGATGGAGGAACTGACCCTGGGCCTCCTACTCTCATAGCATGTGCTCTGCCCGCTTTCTCTCCAGTCCTTAAATAGAAGCCTACGGGGCTGGCTTTATAGCCTTCACTTTACTTTTGACATTCATCACAAGATTCAGTGAGGATGGGAGGTGCCTAGAGACAGAGCCCGGTGATAGAGTGCATGAAACTGTAGGTTCTGTCCCTGGCATGGTCTCTCCCCCCACCAGACACGGAAGGAGAAACTGGGCTCGACTCTCAAACTTCACCATTCACCAACAGTGCTCATGATGCACCCTCACTTTCCTAATACACTTGTTCTAAAATATAGATCTGATATAAAAGAAAGAACTTCCCCCACCCCGGATGACCACAGGAGACATCAGTGACCACACAGAAAACCCAAGGCCTCACCTTTGCTCTGCGGAGGGTTCTGGCTCCTATCCCTTAGCACATTGATTTCATAGACAGCACCATATTGTTCGAAGAGCTCCCGCAAGTCCTTCTCAGACCAGGTTCTTGGAACCTGGCCCACAAACATTTTGATAGCGTCCAGATCCGGTTGGTCTGGGTGGTCCAGGGTGCCGTTCATTTTCTTTGAGCTGCAGGAGGTAAAACATAACTTTTTTTATGTGTTCATGTTGCTTTCCAGAGGAAGTCCCCCACTATCAGCCCATCCATACAAAATCTAAATCTGTTCCTGAGGAAGTAGGGGTAAAATTCTATTTCCATCCAATTCAGCAGAGTTCCCAGGTCCTCCCTCACCACGGCCATTCCCTTGGTTAACAAAACTTGAAAAGTGCCTCTAAAAATAGCAAGAGACTATTACTTCTAAGAATAAATAAAAATGAGGCCACAGAGAGAGCTTACAGCAGGTAAGGAGCCTCCCTTGTATATGGCCAACCCCTGGCATCCCATTATGTTTCCCTGAGCAGAGTCAGGAGCAAGCCCTTAGCACTGCTGGGCATGCCCCCTCCAGCCCAAAAATTACAATAAAAATAATAAATGAAAAGATGCTGATTTCTAAGGTCTAAATTAAGAACTGACTAGAATGTTCTTGGCCTTTTAATATTGTCTCTTGTGAAAAATGTGTTCAAGTTAGACAACCAAAACCAAATTTTACTTCACAAATGATTGTAAAACCAAAAAATATATAATCCATAAGTTTATTTCTAAGTTACCCAATTTCCTGCTTTTCGTCTTCTAAGACTTGAGCACTCAGTCCCCTATCATCTGGAACCATCACAATGTCTAAAATTTCCCCTGTCACACTGATCATGCTCTGCTATGAACAAGGCCTTTTAGCACCACACATGCTTCCACTCAAAAGGAATCCAAATTCTCATGCCTCTTTTAACACTGTAGGTTCTTTGTGGCTGGAGAGAGTACAAACAGAGACTTGCATATGCTGGCCTGATTCAATTCCCGCACCGCATATGGTTCCCTGAGCTCAGAACCAGGAGAAACACCTGAGCAAAGTCGGCTAAACACCCCCACCCCAATCTTATAGTCTTTTTCAGGGAGTGTGGTTAGTCAGATCCAGCAGTGGCTTGGGGACTACTCCTGGCTCTATGCTCACAGATCACACTTGGCAATGCTCAGGGATTAAAATCAGAAGCCACTTAAGTAAGCACCTCAACACTAGTGCTACCTCTCCATCCTTAATCATAACACTTATCCAAATCATATTCCAAATAACTCATATTCCAAATAACTAGTCAGATTAATATTTATTTGCTGCTTAAAATCACAATCATACTTCTGTATTCTAATTTGTCATGCTGATAACCAATACTAAAAAAATGCTTATTTTCTTTAAAAGCAAAATAGTTTTTCCACTACTATCTTCTAAGTATTTCAAGATTCTTGAAAATACAAAATCTGAGAAGCAGTTCAACCTCTCTAATTCCTAAATATCTTATAATAAAACAGTCAGGTGGCTATTTCTCATCTTCACTGAATCCTGCAGTAACTAAAAAGCAAAAGGCAAAAAGGAACATAAAGACCAACACTATGTCTGGAAGGTAAGTTCTCCCATACTTTTTCAGGAAGACTCTTTTTTCTGGGGGACACAGTCAGCAGTGTACGCAAACCGTCTCTCTGGCCCCAAGACTTTATTGGTTCTAAATTTCCACCTTTATTACAGTACTGACTACCTTTTAACATAATCTGACTGTCTCTATCTCTTCCAACTAGTAAAAAGCTTTTGTTGGGGGGATGAGCACACCCAGGGTTTGCTTACTCCTCCTGGTTCTGTTTTGCGGTTCACTCCTGGTGGTCTTGGGGGTCTATATGGCACTGCCAGAAATTGGTCCCAGGTCAGCTGCAAGACAAGCACTATTACCCATTGTAGTACTGCTCTGGCTCCTCAATAGCTCCTGAAGAGACAATTTTTAATTTCCATTTTATGGTTCTGTTTTGTTTTCTGGGCCACAGTTGGCAGTGCTCAGGATTTACTCCTGGCTCTAGCTCAGGGATCATTCCTGGTGGGCTCGAGGGACTGTATAGAAGCCGGGAATTGAACACAGATTGACTGTGTGCAAGGAAAGATCCTTCTTTCCTACTGTACTGCGCTCTAGATCCTAATTTCATTCCTATGAAAACACCAGGTGCAGTTAGCATGCAAACACGAGATAGAGTTTTTAGTTCTCCAATTTCCCCTCTAAGCAACTAAACCCGAATAGAAATAAATCGAAATGAAAGCTGTTCAGAGAGGGCTACATTAAAGAACAGATAATATAACCTAGCTCCAAGCATTACTTATTGCCTAAGACTCAATCCACCCATCCTTCCCTCCCTTCCCTTTTTTGCTTTTGGGTCACACTTAGGGATTACTCCTGGTAGGGTGCTAGGAGCCATATGGGGTGCCCAGATCAAATTCAGGTAGGCTGCATGCAAGGCAAACACCTTGCTTGCTATATTACTCCCTGGCCTCCATCTTCCCTCTTCAAGTATTTGGAATGCACTGCTTTAGTAATTTTCCATTAATCTATGACTTTAATACCATGCATTAGAAAGTCATTATGAAACCATGATTGATGGCTAGGGATGTGGTTTGGTGTTAAGGGCACGGACCTGGTATATGATTCTGGGTTCAATTCCTGGAATCACACACATGCAAGTATAATTTTTATATATATATATATATATATGTAACTATATACATGCATGAAACTGATGTAGCTATTAAAAGTCTGAACCTAGGGGCTGGAGCAATAGTACAGCAGGTAGCGCGTTTGCCTTGCACGCGGCCGACCCAGGTTCGATTCCCAGCATCTCATATGGTCCCCCGAGCACCGCCAGGAGAGATTCCAGAGTGCACGAACCAGGAGTAACTCCTGTGCATTGCTGGGTGTGACCCAAAAAAGAAAAAAAAAAGTCTGACCCTAAAAACCTAGAATTGTTAAGACAGTATGGGAGTGTGGGAAGTAGGGGGCACTGATACAAAGTACAGTGGGTTAAGACATCTGAATTGCATGCAGCTGACTGGTGTAGATCCTCAGCATCCCATATGATCCCCTGAGTACTGCAAGGAGTAAACCCTGAGCACTGCCAGGTATGGCCCTAAAACAAACAACCCGGGGGCCAGAAAGCTAGTACAGGAGGTAAGACACTTGCCTTGCATGTGACTGGTCCCTTTAAAAAAAAAAAAAAGCGACAGCACAGGAGTGCAAAATTTACCTGCTGGGGACCCTGGTTAGATTCCTGGAACCGAGACCCTGGGACCCCAGCACAGCAGTGCCTGAGCAATCCACCCTCAGGTGGATGCCTCATGCTCAGCCACTGGGCATGCCTGGCAGAGTACAGCCAAGAGTGGCCACCAGACCACCCTGGGCACTGCTTGGGCACACCCCACCACTACCACAAAAAATGCTTTTAACCTTATAGAGGAACTAGAGAGAGAGTACAGAGTTGGGAGTATACTGAGCACCACTGAGTATATTCCAAAAACAAATGAATAACTGCTAATCTCTAATCCTGTTTCTTGTCTAGGAAGGGTTACTCTAACCCCTCAGTGGTGCTGAGAACTTATTCATTCCAACAAGGAAGATGCATCTTCTCTCGAAAGAGGCAGAGGCCTTCTCAGTTTGTTTCCTCTCATGACATTTCTCCACTTGATGCAGCAAAAGCGAAAGAACACAAGCAATACATGTGAATCATGGTTATTCCACAATTTCCGTGGAGACCTGGCATTTTCTTCTCCATTTCTTAATGTCCACATCCTCTTGAAGCCAACCTCCCTTACTCATGCTATGTAGGTCAACTGCCAAGGCAGTCCCCAGCACAGCAGCTTCAAGTCCCCAAGATCGGGGCGGTCTTCAAACAAGAAAGTTTAATAGCAACTGGAAGGAGTCATTTAAAATATGCTCAATATAGGGACTGTACAGCAAGTAGGATGCCTGCCTTGCACACAGGCAACCTAGGTTCAATTCCCGGCATCCCATATGGTCCTATGAGCACCACCTGAGTGCAGAGCCAGGAGTAAGCCCTGAGCGTGACCGGTGTCACACCAAAGCCAAAAACATGTAATATACATGTATATTAAAACATAAATCAGGCACTGGTTGAGTATAGCACAGGTAGGGTGCATGCCTTGCACATGGTTGACCTTGGTTAGATTCCTGGAATGCCGTATGATGCCCTTAGCTTGCCAGGCATGGTCCAAAAAGGGAAGAAGAAGAAGAAGAAGAAGGGCTAGGGAAAGCTCAACAATAATAAGATACAAACAAAAGAAAAACAAGGCCCCTGGTCCCCTCAACCAAAGCCTACAACTTTTCATTTTTATTGTTATTTTACAAGACAAGGGCCAGGGGACTCAGGACAAGGTCCAAGCACCTTGAACCCTGGTAGAGTTCAGCAAGCTATCATATCCAGATGCTGTGGAGAGCATGCAACCGATGTTATGAATGACCAATTCCTTTCATCAATAAAGGCCGGGCCTCACATTAGACAGTGTCAAATGTGATATACAATGAGGAATAAAGAATATTTCTCTGTGTGCTTGAGAACAGCAATAAAAGAGAAGGGACCCCGTGGAGACGGCTGTCTATGGCATGAGCAGCCACAAGGGCTCAGGGTGATGGCTTAGGTCAGGCACAACTGCCTTACATGCTCAAGGACTCCCGGTGGCCCCTAAGGATTGTTTGGGAACCCACTCCCATAAATGACAGATCAAAAAAGCCCTGCACAGACTTCAGCCACAAGGTTTCCCATCCACTGCTACTGCATCAAAAGAGGTAAGAAACAGTGCCTTTCCAGGCTCGACCTTCCTTACACACGTGTAGTGTGCATGCTGAAACAAACACTGCAGGGGCCGGAGAGATGGTTCAGAGGGCTAGAGCCTGTATTTTCCAAGCAGAAGTCTTGGGGCTCAATCCTCAGTACTACAGGGAGTGGCTACAATCCCTCAAAGTACCACCAGGAATGGCCCCCCACCACTACTGAGTGTGACTGTCCACCTACTCACTCCCTTAAAAAAAAGTAACCACTGCAAGAGCTGGGGAGGTAGCTCAGTGGCAGAGCACAAGCCTCTCCTGTTTGAGGCCCTGTATCTAACAGAGGCACTGCAAGTAAAGATAACCAACACACAAGCAAGTCACCGGGGACAAGATTCCTGGCGTGTGTACCAAGGCTCCTCACTCCCCGGCCAGCTACGCTACAGATCACCGAAGACATCCTTAAATTTTTGTCTTTCCTCCTCATTTAATGAAGAGCTCCCTGAGGCTAATGATAATGAATCACTTATATTTATTGCACCCACTGAAGGGCAACATCGAATCCGAAACCCCCCTGGAGAAGAATCGATGGTGTCTCTGGTGTTTGTCAGGAGACAAGTCTGTGGAAACTCTTCTGTCCCACGGAAACTGTCCAGACCTGGGAACAAGATGAAAGAAGGAAAAGCAGAGCTTGCAAGAGAAGCCGGGGAAGGGAGCGAAGGAGGCAGGTATCTTAGAGGAAAGGCATGGCACGAACCCACCTCTTTTCGTTTCAGCTCTGGCAGAAGTGGCAATAAAAAGAACAGACCCTGATAAATCATGAAGAATGAGGACCCGATGGAGCTGGAATGATAGTACAGCGGGAAGGGCTCTTGCCACCACCCAATATGGTTCCTGAGCCCAGCTAGGAGTGATCCTTGAGATCAGAGACCCAAATAAGGCCTGAGCACTGCCAGGTATGGCCCCCAAACAAAACAACAGAGTAATTGAGTAATAAAGACAGAGACTGCTTCGTTGCTTTGATTCTCACATGAACGTGCTGGAGGAAAAAAAAAAAGAACATCGAGTGTGGAAGATGGGGAGGAAAAACAAAACCTTTTTCTTTGGTGTTGGGAAGGTGGGTTTGGGCCACGCTCAAGAGAAATTTAAACACTTTATTGTTATCAGAAAACTCTCCTCCATAGAGCAGCTCTGCAGAGTCTGAGATAGGCTAACCAATCTCCTAACCAACCCACTTCCACAGAGTAGAAAAGTCACAACTCAAAAGTGTGAAAGGGGCAGTGTGGTAAAATGTAACGGAGGTTCCTGCTATGCATGGATAAAACACAGACTCATATGCAATGTCCAGCTCAAGCACGTCTCAGGATACCCAAATAACAGGTGTCCAGGAAAGAGGATGGAGGTGACTATTATCAAGGACACAATTCCACTTCGGAGTGATGAAAACTGAATCAGCGGTGAAAACTCACAACTTTGTGGATGAAGTAAAAAACCACAGAACTGCACTCTGTCGCAGTATGAAAACATAAGATTAAACCTGTGTGGATTAAACCTCAGTTTGAGAGAAAGAGAAGATGATAGGTTGGAAGCCACACTGCAGCCAGTTTCAAGGCGGGGGAAGAGCAGGGGTGAAAGGGATGGAACAGTGGGCGGGCACTTGTCTTGTACACGCCAATCCTGTTTGATTCCCAACACCCCCGATGGTCCCTGAGCCCAGTCCGGAGTGATTCCTGACACTGGTGATGAGATTAGTGTCGGGAAATTATATATCTGAAACTCAGCTATGAGAAACTTTGTAAATCACCTTGTAAATAGATTATAAGAAAAGAAAAAACCAACCAACCAACCAACCAACCAATACCTAGGCAGGAAAGAGCCGCGTTACAGAGAGTCTGACCCTCGGGGCCCTGATCAGAAAGTGGGAGATGTGGGGCTTCTTACCATGGAGGTCCCTATGCTGTATTCCAAGACTCCAGGCATGCTAACAAGAAAATCCTTCAAATTGTGTGCGCCTGGTGTCTGTTCCTTGCAGACAGGGTAGTATGCCTGTGCAGCAGCATGTGCACGCATACACGCACAAACGCATGCACGCACACACACACACACACACACACGGGCACCATGGCAACCACCAGAGAGCATCACAACCATAACCGTGTGCCTCAACCAAGTGAGCATCTGTGCAAACACCATGACTGCAGGAGCGTATGCCTGGGTGGGCGGCAGCCTGACAAACGACCCTCGGTGAGCACCACGATCAAGTGTGTGAAACCCTCAGTTATCACAAAACATCGATGGCAAAGGGAGGGAGAGATCAAAATTCAACGTAAAAGGGTTGAACACTGGGAAGTGGCAAAGCAGTCAGTTACAATAAAGGGTAATCTGAGCCACCAAGTTCTGTCTCTGGGGATGACTTATCTGGTGTATGGGAATGTTTTTCTTGTCATCAGCTCCTTGTGATGGCATTTAACGTGATTTTGACCTGTTAAAGAACCTCATCATAAAGACATGTCTAAATTTCTATTATTTTAGAGAAAAGGCATAGGATCCATTTTAAACAAAACAGCCGGCTAATTTTGAGGGCCCCTCCCTAAAGCATTTCACAAAGAACAATTTAGACTATTACCCACACCTATCAGACCTAATCCCAGGGTAGAGGAACTAACACACCGGGGCTGTAATGTATTTCCTGGGGAAGAGCTGATACTCTTGGTTTTGGGGTTGTTTTGTTTGGAGGCCACATCAGGCTGTGTTCATGACTCACTCCTAGCACTGAGCTCAGGAATCACTCCTGGAGGGACTAGGAGAACCATATGAGGAGCTGGGGACTGAACTGGGTCAGCCATGTGCAAAGCAAGCACCCTACCTACTGCACTATCTCTCCGGTTCCTATTCTGATGCCTGGTTAGAGTATTCAAAATCAAGAGTTATGTGTTCTACTAAGTCCAGCATTAAGACTCAAGGGCAGCTGGAACTCAAGGCCAGCTTGGCACCTTAGCTGTGGACTGCACTAGTGTCGCTGGGGGAGCTCAGGGACCATGAGGGAGTCACTCTAGGCAGTGCAAAGGGCCATACCCTGTTTTGTCAGTGCTGAGGTCAGTGCAGTGCTTGGGATCAAATCAAGGGTCTCACACATGCAAGGCACGTACTCTAACACTTTCAGGCCCGAAGATGGTGCCTTTGTCTGGGATGGTCCTTTCTCAACATTTCTGTAAAATGACAGGGATTCTCATTCTCATGTTCAAAACCCGGACAAATTGCCAAACAAAACTGACGAGGTTTGATCTGGGGAGACAGCCGGGCGTCTGACCTGTGGGCACTATCTACCCTCCCCAAGTGTGGCCCTGGAGGCCTGTGAGCAGCACAGGGCAAGAGCAGTTCCACACCCACCTGCCCGAGCATTCAGCCAGAGTATCAACAGTGAGCACTGCTCTGAAGGCAACCACCATGAGAGAAAAAGTGGCAAAGGACAGGGATTATTGGGTATGGAGCACCGCCAACACTCTTAAAATCATGCATTAAGTTGCATTTTCTTGAAGACCTAAGGGAAAACTGGAGGTCCAGGATGAGTGTACCTGCCAATCCAGTACTCTGTAGACTACTGATATTCTAAACTATTCCTCTGGATGAGCCTGAGAATTTGATCACTAAAACAAACACGCTTTGCAAAAGAGCACTTGAAAACTGCTTGCCCAATCCAAAACAATAAAGCTACAATTAAAAAAAAAAATCTTAGGTCTAGAAAGAGTCTAAGGGTTAAGGCTCTTACCCAGCACACTGTTGGCACCAGCTGGATTCCCAGCACCACATATAGTCCCGAGACACTACCAGGTGTGAGCCCTGAGCAATGCTGGGTATGGTCCAATCCTCCCTACCCCCATGCCCCAACCCTCAAAGAGCTGGAGCAAATGCTGTGTGAGCAGGAGATCTGGGTCCTAAGCATAACCAGTAGCGCCTCCCTTGCACTGAGCCAGGAACAGGCTTTGAACAATACCAGATGTGGCCCCAAAAAACAAAAACAGAAAAAAAAAACTTGGGAGAGACAACTCAAAGGTCAGAGTGCATGCTTTGCACACTCAAGGCCCCAGGTTTGATCCCCACCACCACCTGGCCCCCCGAACTCTACTGGGAATGGCCCTGGTGGCCCCAGGAACACTGCACTGCTGGGAGTAGCCCCAGGGACCCCTGGAGTATTAATTGAGAAACCCTCACACACACACCCCACCCAAATCTTGCAATCTATCACATGGAAAAACACCGCAACTTAAAGAAAATGACTCCAGCACACTTGAGTTCATATCGTTGTCATATACAAAAATGCATCTGTAAGTACAGTTAAAGCCCTGAGGAAATCAACAGTAATTAGAATCAGACTACAATAAAAAGTAATAATGTGGACTTTTGCTACCTCACCCATTTTTTTTTCTTGAGGGAGGGAACAGGTTCATTAAATAACAAAGACAAACGCCCAGTTCCTACGCTTATGATAAAAATTAGCAAAAATACTTACACAGGACTGGAATTCAAAGAGCAATGATCCACCATCATTTCTGGGAGGAAATCCAACTTAAACGCAGCCATCACCTCACTCTCCCCTTCAGAAGCCAATGATATAAACTTGCTGCACTTGTCTGATGCACAAATACACACAGCTTTAGCTTCCTGGGCCCCACAAAAAACACAAAGTGGAAACAGGAGCTCAGGGAAAGCAGCAGTAAGTGCCACAGAAACAGGCAGGACTGGGGGACGGGGAGGGGAGTCTGGATTAAAGGGGATGTGAGCATGTGAAGGGAGGTACAGCCCAGCACACAATGAAAGTGCTGATGCGCCAGGCTTGTTTTGTGTGATTTTCCCTGGCGAAGCAGTACTAAGTGCACTGTCAGATAAATAAGAGTGTCAGATCCATGAAGATAACAGTGGCTAACAGAGCAGAAGAAACACAAAGTTTCTTCCCGATTCCTCCCTACAGATCAGTTTCTGAGGGCCCCCAAAGCCTGTAACTATCTGAGGCAGGGAAGTGGGTGGGGAAAGCTCACCTCACTGGTCTGAAAATGCTTCTTAGGAAGAACCGGGGACTTAGTCTGAACTTAGTTTCCCATGTGCCCGAGACAGCAATGAGCCCCATGCTTGGGTCCAAACCAGTCTCAGAAGAGTTGCTTAAAAAGGAGTGGTCAAGCCCACAGAAGCCAGAGACAAGCTGGCCAAAGAACCAGGCTCCAGAAACTTCTGCTCCCATACCACTCCCTGCACTGGACAGTCTGTTTACTTTTTTCTTTCTTCCCCCTGGTGCTCAGAGCACCACGCTGTGCCAGAAATAGAAACCCAGGGATAGATTCTGGGCTTCTTGCATGCAAAAAATGTACTCGTCAGATGAACTCTCTGGCTCCAACCGTGTTTCCTAGTATGCTGCCAATACTCTTCATCAGAGGAAAGGCCTTTACAAAGTCCCACTTCTAGGTAAGGCGCCTGTCTTGTATGTGGCTGACCCAGGTTGGATTCCCAGCATTCCACAGGGTTTCCCAGGACTCCCAGCAGCGAACCCTGAGAGCAATCAGGTGTAACCCCTGAGCACCTGCGGGTGTGGCCCCAAAACAAGCCAAATATTCCTGCTTTAGAGGGCCAGACAGGGGCCGGAGGAATAGTACAGTAGGTAAAGTGCTTATCTTGCACATGACTGACGAGGGTTTGATCCCTGCACCACACATGGTCCCCATCAGGAGTGAGCCCTGAGCGTATCCAGGTGTGGCCCCAAAACCCCAGGCCTTCTTTCCATTTTCATCATGAGGGTGCCTTACCTCCAAGATTTCACTTCACTCAAGCTCAGTTCACAACACAGGGAACTTTTGAAAAAGGGAATTTATGACCAGCCTGTAAAAAGGTAAATGAACAAACTCCTAAATGTACAGTTACTTTTAAAGGAAAGGAAAGGGTGGGGTAGGGGCAGGGGTGGTGGGGGAGCGCTAGCATGTATGGCACAGGACTAGTCAAAGCAAGGATGACTGATGCCCATCTGCATCAGGCCAAGGGTGGCAGAAACGGTCTTTTCCAGACACATATCACCCCAAAACAAGTCATAGTGGGAAATAATGATCTTTTTCTCCTTCCCAAGACCCTGGCTCACTCGATCTCCTGCTTTACAGAGCGATGGCCGAAGCTCTCTGCCAGCCTTTCAGAGGAAGAAGCAAACACAGGCAACGCGTGAAGCAGCGAGCAGCTAGCACCCCCGTGCGCAGCGCCCGACTGCCAGAAGGCGGAAGACAGTAACCCGAGCTGGAGCTGCTCTCGTGGCTGTTAGCTCTGTCCTAGTTTCTCTGATGTATGCTGGAACTGATCACATGCTTCTCCCAGAGCAAGTTACCAGGGGCAAGGAATGAACTGGGAGGTCAGTCAAATTAGATTTTAGAGTTCAAGGGTACCTTGAAAATTCAATCAACAGATTTTTAACCACTACTGGTGATTACACTTTTGTTACTGTAAAAACATGATTTTTAATTATAGCCCTGTTTTAGGCAAGATCACATCCATGACGTAATTAAACACAGAAGACTTTGAATCTTCTGGCACTGTTCAGTGGATTAAAAGCTCCGCATGCCTTACCACAAATTTTACCAAGCCACAGATGGGAAAGCACTGATTTAGAGTAATGCTGAAAAACCCATGCTATGATTTACCCAGTCGCACTGCTTAAAAAGTTGGAAATGTAGAGGCCAGAGAGAGCACCAGGCCTGAGGCGCTAACCTTGAATGTGGACAACCCCAGGCTCACTCCCTGGCATCACACACGCTCTTCCGGGCACTAACAGGAGTGCCCCGAAGCGCAGAGGGAGGAGTAGCTCCGGAGCACTGTGAGGCGTGGCCCACCCCACCCCTCAAATACTTCAAATTTTTTATAAGATGGAAATGTTAGTACATGAAAGAATGAATCTCTCCAGGCCAGAGAGTTAGTTCAAAGGGCTGCAGTGCACGCTTTGCATGAAGAGCCCCAGTTCCAGTCCCAGAGACACAGGCACCCCCGCGATCTCTGGTGGCCCCGGCACCAACAGATTGAGTAAAAAAACCATCATGGAGTCACTGTGTCCCCCCCTCAACTCCACCCCCAAAAAAAGGACAGCTATTTCTCTTTAGTAGGTCATAAGAATTATCTGCTTTAATTAAATTAAACATGCTCAGGGCTGGAGAAATACTACAATGGGCAGGGAAGCTTGCCTTGCACACGGCCAACTTGGGCTTTACACCCCATATGGTCTCGAGTCCCACCAGGAGTGATCACTGAGTGCAGAGCCAGGAGTAATCCTTGAGCACTGCCAAGTGTGCCCCTAAACCTGTCCCCGAAAAAAACTAGGGAAACAGAATGAAGCTGATGTTAATGGGAGAAACTAAAAAGAATTAGGGGCATAGAGCAGCAGTATAGCAGGTAGGACACTTGCCTTGCATGCAGTTAACCCAGGCTCCATCTCTGCGTCCCATAGGACTCCTCAGTACACTGTCAGGAGCAAGCCCTGAGATCCGCTAGGTATTGAAGCCCCCCTACCCCCTCCCACCCCAAAAATGGAGAAAGAAAATAAAGGGTTAAGGATACAGTACAGCAGGTAAGATGACTGTCCTGCACACAGTTGACCTGGGTTTGATCCCCCCACCTCATGATCCCTGGAATAAGGCCAAGAGTGATCCCTGAGCACACAGAAGGAGTAAGCCTGAGCACAGCAGGGTGTGGGCAAAAGGGGGGAAAATGAATCCAAAAAATAAAAAGAAGCATTTAAAAAGCCACAGAAAAACAGCCCCTAAATTATGATGATGATGATGATGTTTCTTTCTCGGACACACCTGGCAGTACTCAGGACTTACTCAGGCTCTGCAATCTGGAATTACTCCTGGCGGTGCTTGAGGGGCCATACGAGATAGAACCAGGGTTGGGTGCACACAAGGCAAGCACCCCACCCTCTGTACCATCGCTCCAGCCCCCTAAAGTCATTTATTTCCTTCCTTCCTTCCTTCCTTCCTTCCTTCCTTCCTTCCTTCCTTCCTTCCTTCCCTCCCTCCCTCCCTCCCTTCCTCCTTTCTTCTCTCCCTCCCTCCCTTTCTCTGAGAAACATAGTTTTTAATTAAATAAAATTGCCTTAGAAAGACGTGAGGGAAGAGACAGAGAGGATGCTCATGTTTAAGAGAGAACACAGGCATCTGCAGAATGGAAAAGGCAAGCTAAGCGAAGAGAAACAGATACAAGAAGCAAGAGCTTGAAGAGCAAGCACCAAGTCATTCTTAATCAGCAGGCCAGGCTTCTCTGCCAAGAGCTGTATTAGAAACAGAGACAGCAGGAAGACTCGTATACAAAGGCCCACTGCAAAGGCTAGCTATAACCTTTCCTCAGCTGCTTTTCACCTGTCTGCTCCTATGAATTGACATTTATGGGTTCCTCTTCCTTCCCTGGTTGGCTGTCTGTCTCAGCTTTCTTTGCCTTGAATGTTGGCTACTTTTCTAAGGGTAGCAACTGAAACCTGATGATGTGAGTGTACGGGTAATCAGCCTGCTGTAACAGCAAGAACCAGTAGATATGGAAAACAGGCAAAAGAATAGCAGCACATTTCAGAATTTAGAATACTGGAATCAAAATCAAGAGTTTGAAAACGGGATTAGAAGAAACGGCCTAAGTCAAAAGCATTCTGTTTTGCCATGAGCGAGGAAAAGCACAGCCAGCTGCAAAGGGTGCCGGGGCCTGTGCAGACACTGGGCCCTCCATTGTGAGCGACTTAACGAAGTTGAATGACAAGTGATAGACTTCATCCTCTATCCAGATAATCAAAATGTGTTTGAAAGAACAAAAAACTTATGGCTATATGAACGTTGAAGAAAACTAAAGCCCACTGCTAAATATGAGAAATACTGTGTCATTAAAAATCACCAGTCTATATAAGGAAGCATGTCAAAATCTAGGGATAACTTATAACTTCACGTGGGCTGGTTAATTTACCCCCAGAGCACCTGGCAGTGAAGATAACTTTAGAAGGCATGCAGAAAAGAAGCAAGCAGTTGAAAATAACCAACCAAGGGTTGGAGAGATAGGACAGGGATTAAGATCTGAACTAGGGTTGCATACTGCCACCCCTAGTTCAAAGTCCCAGCACCACAAAAGGTCCTGAGAGTGCTAACAGGGCACTCCTGAGCAGAGCCAGAAGTCGGTGCCCTGTGCTAGGTGTGACCCAAACCACTCCCCAACCACAAAAGCAGCAACCTAATTAATGTAAAATTTTCTTATACTAGGGGCTGGAGAGAGCACAGCAGGTAAGATGCCTGCCTTGCATATGCGTGAACATGGTTCAATCGCTGGTGTCCTAAATGGTTCCCAAGGACTACGAGGAGTAAGTCTTAAGTGCAGAGCCAGTTATGGCCCTAAAACAAACAACAACAAATTTCATAGACTAGAATTACACACAAAAAAGTTCAATACTGGGAGCTGGAGCGATAGCACAGAGGGTAGGGCATTTGCCTTGCACACGGCCAACCCGGGTTCGATTCCCAGCATCCTATATGGTCCCCTGAGCACCGCCAGGAGTTAATTCCTGAGTGCAGAGCCAGGAGTAACCCCTGTGCATCACTGCGTGTGACCCAAAAAGCTCGATTTGCTCGAGCGGGCCCAGTAACATCTCCATTGGAGACTTTGTTGTG